CATAGTATATTCGCAGGTTACAATCCCGATGCCGACTATGAGGCTGGCGAAAAGTCCGCAAATACACCAACTCGATGGTCTGAGGCCGAAATGATCATGAATACCTGGACAGAGGAGACAGGACTGTGTATATTTCACAACTTTTCGTTTGTAAGCAGGTTGTTTAGACTTCCAGTCGATCTGTGAAGCTGTTTTTATTCTATTCAGTTATGTTGCTGAAAGACTGTTGGTTGAATTTTCCCTCAATCTAAGGACCAGGCTTAATGTTTTAATTGAATTTAACTTAGACTTGCTCCAAAAATATATTCTTCTCCGGGCTGAACTGCAGTTTCGACCTGGAATAGATCTCAGCCTGATGGCTAGAACTATGATTCGTGATTTTGTGATAGTTTAGAGTCCTAGTTTATGTGAAGATTAGGTTAAGATAAACTTATATCCATCTCACCAAAAGACGAAGGCTGATTCTTGCTGTCCTGAAAACATTACAAGCTTCCGGTTGACAAGGCAGAGATTGGAGTGCATTGGAGTGAAATGGACTAAAATGGAGTAAAATAGAGTAAAGTTGAATGAAGTGAAGTGAAGTAAAGTGGAGTGGGGTAGAGTGGAGTGGAGTGAAGTAGAGTAGAGAAAAGTTAAGTGTAGTGAATAGTGGGACGGGTGGACAAAGTCATACTTCGGCTCGCACCACCACTCCAGACCACCAACAACAGCTGCTCTTACGTATCTTCCTCCATTAGTCGGAGGAACACACCCTTTTTTGGTCACTCGTGCTGCAGGCCACCCCAGTTGCTGGGCCCCGGACTCACCGGCACCACAAACCTGCTCTCGGCTCCGCGAAAAGCCCGGCCAGTCCCGGCTTTACCAGCAACCACTTCCTTCGGTCAGGTCAGATTGTGAAAGAAGTTTCCTGGCCCACCATAACGGCTTGTTTGTCCAAACGACAGCATCATATGCGTAACACACACACACACACACACACACACGTCAGCAGTGACAAGCCTGTGCGCATGTGAATGGGCTGGTGGGGGACATTACCAAACTCCATACGCCATAACCTCATTTCGGCCCGACCTACTCGCTTGACAGCCTCAATTTGGTCGGCGTCTGGATGGGTCTTACCCTAACCTGGCACATCCGGTACCAACTGTTGGCAACTATGACGGCCCACCCACTCAGCAGTCGCCGTGTTACCGGCACGCCATGCGCTACTCAACCTCTCCGCCTCTGCAAGACGCAAAGTAGGACGGTCGGTTCATGTAGGCCGAGGGAGAGAGAGAGAGAGAGTGGGCAACTGCAGAATGTGTCAGTGTCGACATGCAGGACAAAGGAAAGAAGAGGTCGTGTAGAAGGCCGGAGATCGTCTCAAATGATCCCTCGTCTTTCAAGCCTCGAGTCTGGGCTCCACCTGACCTCAGTACAACCAAAACCTCTTCAGCGGGACTCGAACCACGGCTTTTTATTTCCACTGTAACTGGTCTCCTTACACCATTGCTACTGGACTCGGTGACCAGCCCTCGCGACAAACTGGAAGCCCTTTTTGCTACGAAACAATTCGGAGGCTGAGTGGTCTCAAAGCAAACCTGTTTCGAATGGTCTGTTCAAGATGAACAGGCATTTTGTCATTTTCGTCTAGAATCAGTTTTCATGTCACCTCATATATTTGCTCTACTGCTAATCTCAAGAACTACTTATACTCGAAAATAAGTAGTCTAGTCGATTTTTGGACATGGAGAAATAAACCCAAAATTATAAACACAATTAATTCGACAAGAGCTCATTTTTTTGTTTAATGACCCCTTTGCTAAAACCTTGTCTGCATAATGCTAGACACGGCTGGTTAAAGTATTGGGCCTTTTTGTGGGAATGGAGACTTAGATAATTCGTCGTTTCTAAGTAGGTTTTCGAGACTATCAGTAGATCAGATATGTGAAATGTATTCATCCTATATTGTTTAACGTAATGAGGGACTGGAAGATGAATTTTGGGTATACCTTGTGTTTACAATCAATTCTACATAGATTTGCTTCCCAAAAGGTATTCTTATCCAGTCCGAGGTGGACGGCAGTTTCGACCTCGCCTGAACTGGTCTCATCACCAGCCTCAACGAAATCTGAACGCTGGCTGCGGTTGTCACGAGTCCACAGGGTAGAAGTGAATATCAAAGAAGCCTCAGTATTTCCCATGTCACATTTCAGTGATGGGATTGTCGATGAAGCAAATTGTACATAACAAAAATGCCGAATAAACCACTTATTTTC